TGACATCTTACAATGAAAGTGTTTCCCCCCAAAATCTCTGAGAGGGCAACATAGCATTGTATGTATCACGTCAGGGGGGGAGGGGGGAGGGGGGGTTAACAGTGCACTGTTACCCGCGAATGTTGACCGACGACAGCGAGATTTAATAAATTTCCAACTTCAAAATTTCCAGCTAGATAACAAATCACTGGTCCCTCGGGAAACAATTAATTTTGTGTCCCTCGAATCTCAATGCGATTCAATGAGAATTCTCGGTAAACCAAATTAACTGTTTGTTAAATGCCGGTATTCCGCACACAACAGACAGCTTTCTATCTTGCTTGATTCATTGCCAGACGATTTCTCTGGATGACAAACCTAATATATTAATAATCTAATTTCTACATACAATGCGCTCTCGCTTGCTCATAAGGGCGGCGGGCTTTGAGCTCCAATGAACTGCAGTGGTAAATATTCTTAATCTGCTAGGAGAACTGTGCTTTTTGGACAGAAAAGGCTCTGAGTTTGTTCTTAAGACTTCCTAAAGTCCCGAATTTTTCCCATGAGTCTTCACTCCTTAGCATCTCGAAGAACCTTTTGGAAACTAAACCGAGACTTGATGGTGGTTGCTGTGAAGGGTGTCCGTTGACTCTGTTAACCCTTCAAGTCCCAATAGTGACCAAGATCAAATTTCTCCAAAAAATATCCATACAATGTCAAGAGATAAGTTATGAGCATTAATAAAATGATCACACAAGAGAAAATGCCTTGACCTATTATCAAATTCTCTCAACTCATTCTTTAAGGAAATGTATAGAGATCAGTTTGGAGAACTTGCATGTTGATACTGGGGCTTAAAGGGTTAAGAACTACGGTATCTTCACAATGCAATAAGTTACACGATACGGTTAAATCGTGTATGCAGGGAGATAAACATCATCCAACCCACAAAGGTGAAGTAACATGTCGAAGTATTGGTAATGGTTTACAGAGAAACCACAGTTCGATTTTTGTCTACTATCTTGTCCACCTTTTCCCACTCAAATAAAATTGCTGAGAGCGTTCAAGAAGTCCGTCAAACATACAATGAGCTGCCCAAAGCTTGGTCGCTCATCCTGTGATAGTGCCCAACAGCAAGCGATGACTTTGAAGAGTTCGTCTGGGCAGTTTACCGGTTGTGATATTCTGTGTCCTTGTTTAAGGAAATTCAGCATTTCAAAGGCGTCAATGTTACTATAGGGCTGCTGTCCTAAGGTCATAAGTTCCCACAAAAGAACACCATACGACCACTGACCAGTTAGAATGGAACACAAGAAAGAAAAGAAACAGAGTTAATAGAGAAAATGATTCAGGGCCAGGCAAATCGGTTTTTCTTTGAATAATTGACACTGTCTGGGCAATGGGAAAAACTACATGTAGTCCCTATAAGGACTGTTGTATATTTTGCGCATAGTGTTCCAATCTCAAAGAATCGGTTTCTTTTGTACTTAGTGTGATCCCGTCTATGTGTTTCATACAATGTTGACGGGAGAGTAGTCCTTAAAAGGACTGTTGTTTATAAAATAGTTTAAATCACAGGCAGGGTCAGTTTTGCACTTAGTGTGACCATCCATTTGTTTCTTACCATGCTGAAGGGAGAGTGATCACCAGTAAGAGAATGTTGTTTCAAGAACAAAAAGGTTTAAGCCAGGAGCGCACTGAGTTTGCTTGGTACAACGGGCCCGGCAGAGAAGAGTATCTTCAAAACTGTGTTTAAAAAACGTTCATTAATGAAAGCCTCAACTTGTCCATGAATGCCTTTGTGACACGCCTTGTTCCCTTTCTCCTTATCGCTCCTCCTTCTTCTTTTCAGAAAGGAAACCGGTCATTTCGATACAAAGTAG